GGGGGGGCGTGTGTGGGGGGTGTGTGTGTGGGGTGGGGGTGTGTGTGGGGGTGTGTGTGGGGGTGTGTGATAAAAATTTTTCTGACCACCTCACTGTCCCAAACAGTAACTCCAAACTTGATTTTAGTATTTCATAAGATTTTGGAAAATTTAAAGTAGTTTCTCATTGGGAAAAGGGTAGGGGCTGTTCCAATGGTAGAAGTTATACTTCTTCACTATTGTAAAAAAAAAATTCAATGCTTTAAGTCTCTGATTGAATTGGTCACCTAGAAAAGCTAAAATGACATTAAAAGTAATTTGGTATTAGTCAACTTCCCTTGGTAAAATCAAATCTAAGATGCTATTTATCCTTAGAAATACTCAACAGTTTTTATAAATATGATTTATCTTAAAGAACCACTTCTTTTTTGTAGCAGGGGAGCAGAACTGGGATTGAAATCAAGGGGCACTTTACCACGGAGCTACCTTCGAAGTCCTTTTTATTTTCAAGGTCTGGCTAAGTTGGCCAGGCTAGACTACAATTTGTGATCCTCTAGCTCAGCCTCCTAGGTCTCTGGACTTAGAGGTGTGTACCACCATACCTCACAAGGAACCAATTTAATGGGGGAAAAAAAAAAAAAGAACAGCAGTTAACAAAGTATTATCAGAGGCAGTTTACTCTAAAGCAAATAATGCCCTAGCTGGGCCAGTGACACATGCTTGTAATCCCAGCAACTCAGGAGGAAGGAAGATGGAAAGTCAGGGCCAGTCTGGGAACTTTAGGGAGACCCTGCTCAAAATAAAATAAAAAGAGTTGGGGATGTAGTTTCTCATTAGTAGAGAACTCCTTGGTTCAATTCCCGGTACTTCAAAAAACGACAAAAAAGTGAAAGCTCTTGCTGGCTACTGAATGAAGCTCCAAACAGGAAATCTTTATTACTATAATTCTTTTCCTTGACTTAAAAAAAAAAAAAAAAAAAATGAGATCACCCCCAACAGAAACATTAACAAAGTTATTTTTCCCAAATATATTGCCTATCTCTTGACTTTTCTATTTGCCTTATATTAAAGCAAATGGAATATACTGACCCTGTTACAGTCCTGTGCATGTTAGCCAATCTGCTATTCTTAAATCATATTAAAGGATGTCACTTTAGCAAGCACAGTCTCTGGACTTTCTGTAGTGTGTTGACTGTACAAGCCTAAGTAAGGATATTATTTTTAGTAATCACAACTTGATGACAAACTTTTAAAAAAACTATGCAAACAAAAAAAGCATGCTGCTGAAATGAGCAATGATCACGAACTGAAATTTTCATTCTGAATTGAAATCCCGGAAATAGTTTATAGCTCCGATTCCAGGGACACCAAGGTTAAAAACGGATGTATAATTTTATTGATTATTTCTACCACCATCATGAAGACTTGAAGTCCCAGTGTCAAGGGGGGGAAAAATCCCAGTCTGCAACGAAATACAATATGTTCTGCTGCAGTATCTGATTCTGGAACACCATTAGCTCACTTATAACTGGTATGGTATAGGAACTGTACTGTTTCACATGGAATTTTGCATCAGCTAGGGAAGCCAGATGAATGGGAAAAGATTTATAACATTCAGCAGGAAACATCTCTCAGCTCAGTTGCTGTCCAGGCAGAAGTCTTTTCAATTCTGTTTTAGAAAATCAGAAATTAGCATTTCACCTGGGCCCCTCTCCAGAGAGGTACATACCTCCAGGCCAGCACAGCTCTGTTAATGGCTGGTGGCACTGCCTCCTGTGTAGTCTCAGTGGCAGCCCACACTATGCATTACATCAGCATCTACCATCAACATTCCCAATCAACTTGGTCCAATGCATTTTTAATGTCCCCTAGGGCAGCTTCCAGCCACACTGAGCTGCCTGCCTGAGTTATCTATGTTTCCCCCAAGATGCCAATTATTGTTTCTGTTATTGCTTGGTTACCAAGTTGCACAGATTTTCAGTGGTCTGCCTCAATACTGTTTTCCCATAAGCCCTATTATTTTGGAATTTTCCAGAAACACATATAACTCATTCATGATGACCAAAATTCTTGTTTCAGTAAAACTTCTACTTCTCATAACGACTGATCATAAATATTATATTTCTATCATTCTATAACCATGTTTAAGCATTCCTATGTGTGAATGTATACACTCTACCAAGTAGATCTTCTGGAACAGAGTTTTAAGTATTAAATTTAAGAATTCTGAGTCTGTTCTTTAAAATATATATATATCAAAAGAATCTGTCTTACCTATCTCCTAAGTGCCATAATGTTACAACACTCAAAGTCTAGAGTCTATAAATATTTTAAAAGATTACATAGGATTTCTAAAGTGAAGTAGTAGAGGTAGAATATGGATGTGTGTTCAGTCCCTACCACCATTAATCACCAGGACCTTCCCTGCCTGTCCTGGTATAGACCTTGCTAACATGGTTTTCATTATTTCTCACCTTTGCTGAAAATTACTAAAGAAAAAGTTATAATATTCTACGGAATACAGTTAAGGGATAATCTAACCTTCTCACTTGTCCAGCCAAATATAAAAGCACTATGAAATGAGTTAGAGCAGGTGTCTTTAAATTAAAGCTCCAGAGTCATGGAGTTGACAACACGAGATGTTATGGTAGTTTGAGAATCTACTCAGTGCTCCCACTATCCTCTCCTAAAGCAGATCTGAGAACTGCTGTGGCACTGCTAGTTCTCCTACCCAACCCCCCTTATAATTGTACTTTTCCCACTTTATTTCCTGAATCTCACAATGGAACATTTTCCTGGGGTATAAAATAACCTCTGGGACACCACACAGAAGGATAATAACTAACTTGGATTGCACTTTGTTTCATTCAGATAACAAGTTTCTGGGATAGCACCAAGCCTCATCTATTTTAACACCAAGCTTTGTCTACATATCGGTCTAGAAATTTGTGAGACATGTGGCATTCATAAATGTATTTTAAAAATGTACATTTTGTTAAAACTTGAAGCCATATTTTTTTTCCTCATACAGGTCATTAAAAAAAAAAATATTCAGCATGTAACCAATTGGCAAAGCCAGTCCTCATTGTGAAGTCAAATAGGCAAACACAACCTTAATTTCTATCAGAGAAAGTTCAAGCCAAGATTCACTTGTCAACTTAAACACCCAAGGCAATGCACAGTCGGCGCTTTTTTGTTCTTTGAGGAGGTTTTTTAAAAAAAAAAAAAAAGCCTGAAGACCACTGGGGCTGGAAGATTGAGAACATTAATTTATCAGTTACAATATTCCTGCCTCTGCTTCCCCCACTCAGTCCACAGAAAACTGCATTTGTTTCTACAAAGGGAAGGTCCAAAAGCACAGGCAGAAAAAAAATGGAAGAAAGAGTAAAGATCTCTGGGGGAGGGAGAGGAATCTTTTTCTATTCAAGTTTGAAGGTAATACAAAATGTTCAGATTATTTTAAGTTTATTCTGAAATCACATTTTGATTAAAAGTATCTTGATAAAAGTCTAAAAGGCATTAAGTTTACTAAGAATATTTTTTTTCTAGAAGGAACTTTCTATGATACTGAGAATTCAGCCTAATTATCACACACTGATTTTTACTGGAACTCTATTAAAGTCTCAGATAATTCCATATATATGTTTTCTTCAAAATAGGAGTTCATTAAGAGAGAAGTTCTAGCAAGTCTCTGGTGAATTGAGGTTTTAATAATTCCCGTTATTGACTAGCTCAAGGGAAGCTTTGATACAGACAGAAACATCATACTGTGACTGAAAAGTGCCCACTAGCCGAATGTGGGGTTTTCTTCATCAGTTTTGTTTGCTGAGCCTATTTACAAATAGCGTATAAACAGAAAATAGGCAGAGATACTAATTTAATTGTAGGAAATTATGCCAATCATTATCAGTACTTCCAATGATAGCACAGCAAAATGTATTCCTCAAACATCTCTTTTTTGACTTATAAAAACTGATTTCACCAAACCACATACACCAAAACATCTATTAAGTATATTTTACAGCTGGGTGCAATGGCACAAGCCTGTAATCCCAGTAGCTCGGGAGGCTGAGGCAGGAGGAACATGAATTCAAAGCCAGTCTCAGCAACTTAGCGAGGCCCTAAGCAACCTAGTGAGACCCAGTCTCTAAATAAAATATAAAAAGGTTGGGATATGGCTCAGTGGTTAAGTGCTCCTGGGTTCAATTCCTGGAACCAAAAAAATGAAAAAATAAAAAAAAAAAGAATATATTTTCCATGTATTCACAAAGTGTCTCAGGAGAGATGCACAAAAAAACTGGTATCATTAGCCAACACAGGGTGGCTCAGATTGAGGCAGAAAAAAGACTGTCACCAGCTACCTCTTCAATCTGCAGTTGGCTGAATCCATGGTTATAGGACCCACAGATACAAAGGGCCAACTGTATTTGTTAAATTGATGAATGGCCCAAACTACTTTTTCAACCTTATTTCCCATCTATTCTGCCTTAAAGAATGCATGCTCCAGCTACACAGACTGAAGTTCTTGCTATCCCAAAGCACCTCTACAGCCCAGTCTGCACCTTCTTCCCTATCTGCAAAACACACACACACACACACCTCACTGCAAGTTCTCTGTGCACTCCCAGTACATCATGCTCTTCCTGCCCTGCATCACAAAGTACCTGCTGCCCAGGTCCCTTAGCCAACAACACAGAAGGGTCAATCTAAGAACGCATATCTAAGAACATGTATCTTCCTGGAAACATACCACAATCTCTGGACAGTACACCAAAAAATGAAGGGGGAAAAACTTTGTCTATTGGTTGTATTTTTTTTCCCCACTTAAGATGAAAACAGCTTTGAGTCTCATAGAAAAAGAACTACAATCATCCCTCCCTAAATGTAGGGAACTGGTTCCAGGACCTCCTCAGATACCAAAGTCTGAGAATGTTCAAATTCCTTATACAAAATGGCACACTATATGCATATAATCTACACACATTCTCCAGCATACTTTAAATCTTCTCCAGATTAAGTACCTGAATGCATACATTAGTCTTCCACCTCATCAAGACCCAATTCTCAGAAGTTTCTCTTGTCTTCTTCTTGCCCGATCTCTTACAGATTAACTGCACACTAAAGTCAATTAGAAATGCATAAAGTCCTCCCTCCCCAAACACTCCCTAGTCCCAAGTTACAGGTCACACCTGGGAAGGGCAAATGTCCACAAATGGCAACAACAAAACCAGACAAATGCCACTTTAATCAAAAACACAGAAAGTTTGATCACTGATTCCTTCTTTGGATCTACTGTACTGCAACTCCCACCGACATAGTGAATAAAAAGTACACAGCCTACCTTCCAGAAGAGGCTACTTTTGAAACACTGAACAACAGAGGTACCCACCTGTCTGGTACCCATATATCTTCCCTTGAAAAATCATAAAAAAAGATTCTCCCTAAGGAGAATCTCCCTAAGGGGTAATAGGATCATTGGAAGGCAAGAACCAACTATCTTTCAAAATGCTGATTATTGCTAATAAAGTTCTTTCCTTCTCCCTCACACTTGATTCTTTGACTCTATTAGGTGGCAGCTAACAGGACCTTGTTTAGTTATATTCATTCATTCACACACACACACACACACACACACACACACACACACAGCTCTTCACCAGGCTCCAGCCACATTATTCTTGCTATTCCTGAAACAGGCCAGACTTGCTCATGCCTTGGGGTATTTGCACTAACTGTGCCCTCTACCTGAAATGCTTCAGCATTCCTCTGAAATTCTCTCCCTGATTAAATATTTCCAAATGTCCCTTCCTAACCATTCTAGCTAAAATTAAAAAACACTCCCTCTTCCTTACTTCTCATCACTTTCTGATTTATTTTTATCCATAATAATTACAACAAACAACTAACAGACTTATTTACTTTTTTAGAAGCAGTAGAAGAAAATACGTTGTATTCACAGTTATAGTTCCAGGATTGAGAATAGCATCTGGCAAAGAGAAGGCACATAATATTTGTAGAATACAAAATCCAGCAAACATACCTATTTTATTAATGAAAAACAGAGCAATGCAAATTTTGTTAACAGCTTTGATACATCAAAGAAGTTTTTCTAATCCATAGTAGTTTCTAGGTTTTTTTAAATTTGAATTCTGAGAACCGAATTCTGTTAATCAGCCAAGTTCCAAAGAGATTCTAAAAGTGGTTCAAAATCAGGTCTCTTGGTGGTAGAGTATTTTCCTAGCATGCTCAATGTTCTGGGTTCAATCCTCAGGACTGGGGGATAGGGGTGGGGAGGGGATCAGGTCTCTTCCCCAACCCCAGATACTTTTGCAATTACTTTAAAACGACAAACCAATAATATAAACAAATGTTTTTCAGGCAAGTGCAGTGGCTCAGATCTACAATCCCAGTTACTCAGGAGGCTCAGCCAGGAGAACTAAAAGTTCAAGATCAGTCCAGACATTTTAGTGAGACCCTGTTTCAAAATAAAAGTTTAAAAAGGAATGGGGACTGGGGGGCTGGGGTTGTGACTCAGCGGTAGAGCACTCACTCGTCTAGCATGTGCAAGGCGCTGGGTTCGATCCTCAGTACCACATAAAAATAAATAAATAAAATAAAAGTATTGTGTCCAACTACAACTAAAAATAAGATTAAAAAAAAAAAAAAAAGAATGGGGACTGTAGCTCAGTGGTAGAGCACTTATCTAGTATATGGTTTAGATATGTGTCCCCAAAAAGTTCATGTGTGAGACAATATAAGGTTTAGAGTTCATATGATTGGGTTATGAGAGCCTTAACATAATCAGTGAATTAATCCCCAGATAGGAATCAACTGAGTGGTAATAGAAGGCGAGGGTGTGGCTGGAGGAGGTGGGTCCCTGGGGGTGTACCTTTAGGGTTTATACTTTGTGATGGTAAAGAGAGCTCTCTCTGCTTCTTGGTGGCCATGTCCAGACTTGCGTTTCCACCACACCCTTCTGCTATAATGTTCTGCCTACCTCAAGCCCAAAGATATAGAGCTAGCTATCTATGAAATCAGACCTCTGAAACTGTGACCCCCAAAATAAACATTTCCTCTTCTAATTTTTCTTGTCAAGTCTTTTTAGTCACAGCATCAAAAAAGCTAACTAATAAAATACCTAGCATGCATGAGGCCCTGGGTTCAATTCCTAGCACAAAATAAATAACAAATGATTTTCAAGCAAATACTCAACATTATGATTTTTTTTTAATCTTTTGAAGAAACAAGGACTGTCTTTCTAGTTCTCAACAATAAACCAAAAAGAAGCTGACCATGTTTTGCTTAAAATAAATAGAAATACAAAATGTCACAGAAGGGAAGGGGCTGTAGCTCAGTGGTGCACTTGCATTGCATAAACAAGCCCTGAGTTTAATCACCAGCACCACAAAAAGAAAGAAAAGAAAAAACAAGCCATGAAAACAAACAGTAGCAGAGAAATGACAAATAGAACCCAGTAATAAATTACAGATTAATGTGACTTTATTTTTTAACAAGGTTAAAATAACATACTTAAGATTGAAATTATATTGACAAGCTATTTTTAATTTGTCCACCTCTCTCTCAACAGGCATGGTTACAATGTTATTCCTTCCATGAGGCTCTACATGGGGGTATGTGGAGGAGGCTTCTATTCTTACCAGTTAGAAAAAGTTGTCTTTGTTACAAAACCTGGTCTTTTCCCTTCCTGTCTTTGGCTGCCAGGAAGGAAGGGAGGCTTGAAACATTTAAAAGTTTCAAAGTTAAAAATTTTCCCTCCTGAAAGATCAGTAGCTCTGGAACTGTGGCAGGACTCCTACACTAGTCACTGCTATATGTAAAAGTGGCTGTGTGTTTGTTTGATTGAAGCCAGGAAAGCTTTACCACCAAGCCAAGTTCCCAGATCTTTTCTTTCTTTATTTCTTTTTCTTTTTTTAATTTTGAAACAAGGTCTAGCTAAGTTGCCTCAGCCAAACTTGAACTTGCCTCAACCTCCCTATTAGAGGCACTGGGATTTTTTTTATTGGTATCTTCTGTCTTAATGCAGAAGTCATGGCCCGCTTCTTCATAAAATAAAAAACTATTGCACATTAAAAAGTTAAAATATTTTTGACAAGCCAAAAGTTTATTAACGTTTCATTTTAAACGTAGTATCAAAAGACAGGAAATAAAAATTTAGGATACAGTCCCTATCATGGAAGGATTTTTAAAATTCACTTACAAATCTTATTGTTTTAAGAACTACTTACAGTGTGTCTGACTTGACACAATTGATACATTTCTAAAAACATATTTTTAGGGCTGGGGGTGCAACACAATAGTAGAGGGCTTGCCTAATATATGTGAGGTCCTGGATTTGAGCCTCAGCTACACAATAAATAAATATTACATTTTGAAGTTGTTGTTTTTTTCTTTTTTTAACATTTAAACTTTTTTAAAATATTTTTTTAGTTGTAGTTGGACAGAATACCTTTATTTTATTTATTTATTTTTATGTAGTGCTGAGGATCGAACCCAGCACCTCAACGTGCTTGGTGAGCGCTCTACCGCTGAGCTACAACCCCAGCCCCTAAACTTCTTTTTTATCACAATTTTATAAATAAATTCAAACACATTTGATTGGGGTTGACTTTCAAATTATAACAGCTTTTAACTAACTTCTAACTCTTTGATTTAGGAAAAAACAGAGATATAAATAATTTCTAAACATCCAAGCAGATATTCTATGATGCCTCTAGAAAGTATGCAGAAATAATTGTAGTAGACTATCAGTTTTACCTAAAATAGCAACTTCAAATTATTAAAGGAGTTATAGAGTTAAAATGTAAACAAATACATTTAACTTCTTTAAGAAATTAGTTTCCATTGTCCAGGACTTCTAACTCACACACCAACCTTCTGAGAGATAGAAGCAAATTTCTCCTACATTAAATTTTAGGTTCATAGTAGTCATGATCATGTTCCATATAATTTTTTGTTTTGTTTTTGGTGCTGGGAATTAAACCCAAGGCCTCACACATGCTAAGCATAGACTCTGTTACTGATCTACACCCCAGTCCCCAAAATAAATTTTTTTAAAGTTATAGAAAGTATGCCTTTTTCCAAAACCATGTAAGTGGCCCCAAAATAGTTCTTACTAATTATTAGTAAACTTATGAAATTCAAACCACTTCACAGTTAAGTCTTCGGATAAGTGGGGAAACAATCCAGCTTTCTCATTCTGTTCCTTCCTCTGAGCTAGAATGAGGATTCAATCTCAAATTGCTGTTCCAAGCTACAAAACAATGAAATACCCCACTAAAATAACTCTAGAAGTTGACATGGAATACAATAAATACAACAGCTGACAGTAATTTAAGATTGGCTTATATCAAAGGACTGCATTTCTACACTGTTAACTTCAATAATATGATCTTTGAAATAAATGTTTTGAACCTTAGCTTTAAAATCCTAACATTTTACAGTACTAGATGCCAGCTGACTACAGTTCTACTTTTTTAAAAAATTAATCATTTGACCCCATAATCAATGAGAAGTCAAAAACATCAAAGGCAAAAATCTACAGAAGCACTACATGTCCCTTCATAATTTATTTCTGCATCTCCAAAACAGCACAGGTAAGTAATAGGGACACTATTACTACTGGAACATAATCAGAAAAAAACAACACCATTGCTACTGTAGCATTTATCTGTATGCCAACAAAAGATTTTACATATTAAAATCTATACGAGACTCTATAACTTGGTTCTACATTCTACCTCGAATTTAAAGAATTTTGATTTAATCCCAACATGGCTTTAAATTTTAAACTGTAAGATAATTTTAAGTGAGTCAAGATACCTGCTTCTACTGAGATATTTCAATTAAATGTGCATTTGAATAAACACACACTTTACAAGCATGATCTCATAGGCCCTGACCTACAGATAGAGATCAAACCTAGAGATCAAACCTAAAGATAGAGATCAAACTGCAGCTAGAAATAAATGGTGCTAGAAATCAGAGCAGATTTTACATTCAAAGTCTAAACTCAAAATATGCATCCTGTTTATGAAGTTCCAGGTTTAGAAAGAAATGTCAACAGTAATAAATAAACAAACCGTCCTGAAAGCAGCTAAAATTCTTCAAAAGTGCTGAAACAAAAGACAAATTTGACTACAATGGTATACTATTTCTTTTTTTTTTTTTTTTTTTTTTAAAGAGAGAGAGAGAGTTTTAATATTTATTTTTTCATTTTCGGTAGACACAACATCTTTGTTTGTATGTGGTGCTGAGGACCGAACCCAGGCCGCACGCATGCCAGGCAAGCACGCTACCACTTGAGCCACATCCCCAGCCCCAACTATTTCAATATCAAAACATTTTATAGGACTTGGAATTAAATTGCCTCAGCTAATCATTGGAATGAAAGAATGCATTTTGAAAGTTGTTCTGAAGTAAGCTACTCCAACTAAAACACAACGGAAAGGAAAGAGCCTGAATGAAATAAATATGTAACGTAAAATATTTAATTCATACTAGCCCCTGAGTTGGGGAAAAAAAATCAGATCTCATTATTAGTATTTACTTTGCAAGAATAATATCACCAAGGGCTGTCAGCATTTACAACTGGAGACAAAAACAGCACAGACTTCAGAGAACCTACCTTCACAACCTTGAGTTACTCACTGGGGTTGTGAAAATTAGATGAGGTAAGACACCCAAAGTGCTTAGCACAGTTGCTTCACTTAATAGTCCTTAATAAGAATTTATTTCCTATCCACCAAAACAGTTTCAAACTACAAAATCCTTTTCTAAACAAATTCCTTTTCGGGCACGACTTCTACCTAAGGTGCAGAGAAGTAATGAATACAACACTTTTAAAACTGCCATCTTGAAGACCATAAAGGTACAATAAC